CGTCTCCAACGCCCCATGATGGCATCCATCTCATTGCGATACCTACACGCACAGAAAATAAGGGAGGTTTAGTACTTGTTTTCGATGCGTACGTCTTGAATCGTTCTCAATCAACTTTCTTGTTGATTAAGGGCGCTGGTACTCCTCCTTTTTTCTTTTTTGCCTGTCCTGTCTGGCAGTGAAGCAATCAGAATTGTTGTCTGAAGGCCAAAAAATGTACAACAGAATGGGACAAATGGACCATTATGGCCGTTGCTGTGAGTCCTTAGGTAGAGTAGAAGAGCAGTATAAAAGAACCAGTCCATTTACCATTACTGCTCTGATCTCTGTGGCAGAGGCATACTTTGACCAATCTCCTCTCAGTTCTTCACCTCTTAAAACTAGCAGCTAAACACAAACTATTAATAAACGGGAAATGTTTTAGTTAACAGCAGCTATTTCTTTCAGAAGCAATGAAGCAAATTAGCATAAAGTGCTAAACCTCTAAGAAAAACTAAGCAGTCTAGAGGGCCTGAGCCTCTGCAAAGATGGCTGAAAAGGAACCATCTACGTCCCGCTACATGGGCACTGGGATCTGCAGAAGTGACACACCTTAGTTATTTGCATTGCACATATTCAGCTCTTACTTCTGACTGACATCTGGTGGTGCTTTCTGGAAGACCAGCTCCACAGCTGAAGTCAGGTAGTTCACATCCCCCTGGTGTTCAGCCAGAGCCACCTGGAGAGCCTGAGGAGCAGCAGAGGGACAGACAGACAGTATGGTAAGTCCTAGTCTGTCCCATCTATTTACATACATATAAACTAGATGCTGTCAACTAATTTTTGCTCTAAGAAAACATAAACGTTAAGTTAATCAAACAAGGAACATCATTAATATTATATAATGTTCCTGTGCATACGATCAATTTAAGCACTTTACAATAAATTAGTCACATTAGTCACTCAGTGCTCATGAATCATGTTTGCTAAATCTTTTGGCAGAAACGAAGGAAAACATGTCTCACAA